TAAACTATTTAGTTCGAGTGACTAAAAGCCTTAAATGCGTAGCTTATTAAAAATCGCCACACATTTATCTGCATTTCTTTCGATGTCAAATTAGTAATCACACGATTATATTTATTCATAATACCCGACTGTGAGTCATCTCTGCTTCCGCAGCAAGTGGTCAAAAACAGAACTCCACATAATTTTTTTCTGGAAGTGGAGCGTAGTTTAGCAATTGCATTTGATTTGAGTACAGGTGTATCAGTCATAAATATTGAATTCCCTAACACCTGCCACGCCACCCCACCCACTCCACTTTTCACCCAGTCAGCGCCTATGTCTCGACCCACTTTGTGGAGCACTTGTTGTCGTGCCTAGCACTGAGCCACAATAGTTAACTCAACTAATTGCAAAGCCATCACAAATGCTACCAATAAAACAAAAGCAACAACAAACTTTTATTAAAGACGCATTTCTTACACAATGTAGAGCAACAACACAACGAAAATGACCATGTAAAAATTGAAACCTCTTATAAACAAAATGATTTTCATAGTGCTTATCGCAAAATTGATTAAATCTAGAACGTAAATACGTTGTAATATTATTAACAGCTGTAGTTAATTAAGTGTTTCCAATAGAGTATAAAAGTTGGAACAGATTTAAAAAATTATATTAGAAATCTTAGTTTCTCCTTTCTGTGATAGTAGCTCTCGTTTATTCTTATGAAACATTAAAACTTTTTCAACTCTTTCTGAAATATCTACTTCTAAACCTCTTAACATTTTATATTTCTAACTTTCCTCATAAAAATCACATTTAATATAAAATAATTTAATATAAAATAATTTACTGATATTAATATAAAAATTCTTTCAGTCAAACCTTAAGAAATTCTGAATAATCTTATTTGAAGTGAGACTTAGAGCAGCTAATTAAAAATAAATACTTCCCAATGAATTATTGAATTTTTCAAACTAATAAATAATTAAAATATAATTATAGATATCCAATATAAAGGCAATATATAGGCAAATAAAATATTTAGAAAATGGCGCACTGAAGTCATATTTTTTTCAGTACATAGAGCACTCAAAAAATCCCATACATAATGTATAATATAATGTATAATATTATATTATACATAGTATATATACATTTTTTTCATTTAAACCACACACGTGTTTCTAGCCAAAACCCGAATTTATTCTTAGCACAAAGTTAGCGTCTTATCTGATTGTGAACCGATTAAATATGTCCATGTCCCATGATTTCCATACAGTTAGAGCACAATTTGTTTATCTCGCTGTGATATTTCCAAATTACGCTTATCTCTTGGCACACCTGCACTGGAAAACTACACGTAATGCCCTGCTTCACAAAATAGAAAAATAGTCAAGTCAAGAGTTCTTGGTAAACAAATTTCGTCATAGGCAAACCACTTACAATAAATTAATCGATTCGACAATAAGTTTTAAATTAATATGCTACGATTTATTTCGTTCGATTGACGACAATGTGCACGATTTTCTCTTCCTCTCTCACTCTCTGGATGTGAGGGATTTTTTAGCCATGGTCGGTATATGAGCTCATAACCCACGATAAGAGCTTGATGAAGAGGAAGAATTAGTACAAGGCTAAAATTTCTTATCAGCGCACAGAAGTGAACTGGTCAAGAAAGAGGGCGTGTATTAACCACTTTTTACCAGTTCTGAGAAAAGTGGCCATAAAATTAACTTAAAAAAAAAAAAAATAATAATAATAATAAAAATAGAAATATTGATAAAGGTAATTAGTGTAGATGACAAAGTATAATATAAAATAGGAGTGGGATAATATAATTTGAGAAATTTAAAATGAATAATATGAGTGCAAAATTCGAATGAGAATAGAAAATAGAATTCTCAATATAAATATATGGAAATATAGATCTATTGATAAATATAAGTATTGAATACTTAAATATAAATAAATAGTTATAATAGATACTCAGATATAAAGCTCAATAGGAAAGAATCAAGATCAAAATATTGAAAATTGTATATTTAGATCATCCAAAACTTTTCTATATAGCAACAGCCGATTAAACTCTAGTATATCATAGCTAAGTCTCCTGAGTAATCCGCAATATTAATCCAAACAGAACTTTGCAAACTGCACTATCGATTAATTTGTTTATCGTTGCGGAAATCGACTTCCGTTGCAGCTAACTTCAACTCTGTCCACCTCTCTCTATATCTCTCCTTCTCTTTCTCCCTCACATTCTCCTGGTTGCTTTGTTTTGGCTGCGTACATACAAAAGCAAAACGCACAACAAAACTGTTTTTGCCTCATACACACACACAAACACGCACAGCATCAGCGGGGTCAAGAGTTCAAGACACGCAGCTTCCGACGACTACGACGACGACGATGTCGACAACTCAATCGATAGTCAGTCTGTGCACGTGATGTGTGTGCCGCACATATATATATATATATATATATATTTATATATATATGTACACACCCACACACAAGCACACCGTCTCTCTCACAGCTGTCGAGGTCATTGACTAATTGTGCAAAAGTATCTCCTTTAGCGACTCGCCAGGCGCGCCAGCCTCACAGCTCCCATTACACCCGCTCGCCTTCTCTCTCTCTCTCTCTCTCTTATTCTTCTCCTTTCGCCCACTATCTGCACACCCGCTGTGTGCGTCTGCGGTTTTTGCATTTGTTTCGAATTTTTGGCCTCGAAATTTTTCATTTTCATTTGCCGAAAAATTTCATTGTTGCGCTTTTGCCGTTTGACCCGCTGCGTGGCATGCGTCGTTCTACTGCTTCTTCTTCTTCCACCTCCACCCCTCCTCCATCTGTGGCAGCAGCGGGGGTGGCTTTCCAAATAGGTTGCATAATTTATTGTGGCACTTTTAACGCGCAGTTTTTGAAAATTAGTTTTGGCTCGCAAACGTTTTAAGTGCCAGCGCCTTGATTGGGCTGGCCCGGGCAGTGAGCGAATGGTAGAAGGAAAGGGAAACGAGGAACGGGGAAAGGGCAACTGAGCAGGGGGCAGGGGTAGGTCCACGTTTTCACGGCCCATATGCCACATACATAACACATATCGGCGCAGATCACAGATCTCGCCTTCTCGAGTGGACGAGTTCTTGAATTGCTGCTGAAGTGTGGCATAAGCAGCAGCAACAACAACAACAACAACAGTTGTCGCTTAATTACCTAACGAAAAGGCGAGAGAAAAGTGTGCCAGAAGTGTGTGTGTGCGTGTGTGTGACAACAGTTGGACAACAGACGAGTTTCAGATTAGGATTTGGGCAATCGAATTTATTTAGTCTTGTCTAAATGAATGAATGAATGAAAGGGAAACCTAAGTTGAAGATCTTTAAAATAATATATTGAAATTATCTACTACATATTATATTTAAGTAGAAGATCTGGTCAGAAGTTAGGATACTTATATGTGACTCGAAATATATGAAAATGGAACTATTAAAGATTGATTGATTTATGATATAAAATATTTCTTAATATGAGTTTTTTTGCATCTCAGATCAGATGGAATTGAATCAATATCGATAATGTCGTTACTTAACTGAAAATAGATGCCTCTTTATCATTTCAAATTATATTATATGTATTTGTTCCAACCTTTTAAAACTATCTCGAGTGCATCTCATTCCCAGTTTAGCTCATTACGTAACTCTATCATCATATGGGTGATATTATAGTGTAAACAGCAAAAAGTTATTAATCTTTATGGATTGACTGAACACGCTATATGTGGGTATTCCCTCGCCCATTCAGCAACTAAATTTATGGCCGCGCTTGTTTAGTGAGAATTAAAGCCACTTACTTTATGATCAATTGATAGACAAACTTTACGAAATGAGCAAATCAACTTAACTTAATTTATATTTGCCCAAGGTATTAGAGAAAATAAATATTATAATTATGATTGCGATTATATGCGTGTTTAATATGTTATAATTGTAATATTTTTATTAATATTATATATTTGTGTTTTAAGTATGATTATTATTTTAAAATGATTTTCATATTTTTTTATAAATATACATATATTTTGATTTTTTTTAAATTTAATACAATTGACTGAGAAATAATATTATGAAGTTACTTTTTTTATTTTTCTCAAATCCAATTAACTAGAATATTTTTAAGCAATTATTCTGCTTTACAATTTTTAAAAATATTTCTATATAAACATATGTGATTGATGTAAGATAATTCTGTCTATATGCTTTATGAACATGTACATACATGTTTTTTGTGTATATAATTTTTTTTTATAATAATCGTATTCAAATGTAGATTTGTAGAAACGTAGCTCCATTTCAGTTTCATACTCAAAAAAATATTTATAAAGAAATATATATGTACATACGTTCGCCCCCCTTGTAAAACTGCTCCACACTACACTCGCCGCCACAACATTCTATCGATTAGTCATTCGTCTAATCTGCAAATTGCATACTAAAAATGTTGCTAAATGTGGCCAACGAGTTGCACTTTGTGCGCGGCATGCAACATAGCGAAACGGCAAAATGTTGCTTAGCCAACAGCCAACAGCAAGCAGTTCAAGACTCATAAATTAGCCCACAGAGACGCGCCCCAAAATTCGTTTCAATGTGTGGCCATAAAATGCAGTTGAGCTCACACAAAAAATTTCAAATTCAAATTGAGTGGAGCGGACAGGAGCGGGAGCTGAGAGACTGACCTGAGCAGAGCTGGGCTGCGCTGAGCTCTCTACACCAGGTGTGCCATAAAAATATCCTTTTATGCAAGCAGCGTGTCCTGTCTGCAGCCATTTGGTCAGTTAGCTAAAATGTATCGAATATCGATTTGCAGCACGAAACTCAACTGAACTGAAATGCTAAATTTAGCTGCGCTAAGAAAAAACTCGACTTATGTTTATGCCTGGCACGTGCTGTCGCCCGTTTAATAAGATATTTGCCTGAGACTAACTTTTCTCCGTTTCTCAATCTCTCTTTCTCTCTCTCTCTTTGTAGACATCAGCCGACTGTCGCGCTCGCCTTCGCCGCTGCAATCGAACGGTAAGTGCCGCCACTTTAAATGCAACTCTTTAAATTTGGAAAACCAAGCATCCATTAGAGAGCCTCAGCTGTTGTCCGAGTATTTACGATTTGTCCACTTGGATGTATATATATATATATATACACATGCATATATATATTTGGAATGGAAAAACATCTGCCACAGTGCCATAGCAGCTCAACTGGCATCAGTTACAATGGGCAGACAATAAATAGATGACGGGTAGTTCGAACAACCCTTGCAATCAAAAACACAGAGAATACAACAACTTCGCACTCGTTGGCCACGCGCTGTGCCTAGGGTTTCAGATTTTAGGGTTTTCACTCTTGTAGAGTTGGGGTTAGGGTTTAGGGTAGCATTGGTAGGGAGAGACAATCTCTGAACAATGGCTGTCAAAACTTTTCGTGTCTCTGATTTAGCTGGGGTGACAAAATTAAGAAACGAGGCGTTGCTCGAGTCGATTTTAATGTCTTATAAACAGCTCCTTAAGTAGCGCATTAGCTGAGCAATTGAGGTTAAGGTTGTCAACTGATAAGAAATATATATAAATTCCTGTTTATGTGATATATATTTATTATCATAGATTTGATATTTCTTTTAAATCATATTCATCTGGCACTCATTATTATTCATAACTCGTTGATTTTGTGTCTGAACTGCGTAAAATTTGCAATTCACACTTTACAAATTTCATGGCAACAACAGCATCCTCATCATCATCATCAATATCATCGTCAGTCTTATCATCAGCCTCATAATCATCATCATCAAATATTACCCTATACATATGTATATTTGGCACGCCCACGTTTCGAACTTCGTTAGTCACGGCTCGGTCCAGGGTCAAAGCAACTGAACCTTTTTTTCGGACTCCCTTTTATATTATTGACAGCATTTCGCTTGATTTGAATTTTCATGTGTGTTTGTCTGAATGTGTGTGCGTGTGTGTGTGTGGGACCCAGTTGCTGCTGAGATTTCTTTTGCTCCCTGCTTTTGGCTACCGAATGAACACATATTTACATATATTTTATGCAAAAATTATGCCGTTATGCACGAGTGTGGGAGCTGTTGGCCCTCTGTGTGTGCAAGTCAAACTGACCATTTGGCTTTTTTATTGGTTGGCTAAGAGCACAGCGGCGTTGTATAGAGGGGTATTATCATATAAGAAACTCAAGTAACTCAGCTGTTGATGTAGTTATGTGATTCGAATAAATATATATAGCGATCTCATGCATCTAAAAATAAATAGAAGTATAATCAAATCATCTAATATAACTTGAGTATTACAACACGAAGCACATTTAAATTTTACTCTTGAGTAGAAAATACTCTAAAAGATAGTACTTCATAATAATATACTATCCCTATTTATAATAATCTATTGTAACTCGGTTGCTGTTTGAGATAGGCTGCTCAAATTTGTTCATCATACTTCCGACACTCGTTCAAGCAAATTTCAATCAAGCCTCTCTTAAATATCATCGTAAAAAACAAAACTACCTATTGTAACTCGCTTAGTACAATATTATGCCAAATACAATTTTCACCATTCTAAATGTAATGAAAAATATTGTAATTGTCTATAGTAAAATACTATCCCTAGTTCTACCCATCTCATTGTAACTCAGCTGTTAGTTGCCCTAACTAGCTCAACTTTCAATACAAAGTTCTGCTCCCATATACGAGTTAGCCCCCCTTTAGTTGCTTTGCCTACGCCTCTGTGCACACTTCCTCACATAACACATACCAATCGAATTTGCACATCATCTGAATACCAAATGGCCGCACGTAGTCGCAGCATACATATATCGAAGAAGAAGAAGAAGCAGATGATGAAAAAAATTTACTCTCTGCTGCTGTGGTGCACCCACTCGTCCGAATAAGTCATCAAATTCACGTAGCATCCACCACCATCCGGAGCCACAAGTCATAAAGTAGCCAGCCTCAGTGGTCCACCAAACATATGCAAAAATTTCTGGACCCAGCTGGCTGACCAGTTGAAGCTGCACGGGGGAAAATTTCGGGAAATGGAAATGCCACAATTGAGATTTGAACAGAGAAACGTGTGTGTGGGTTTGTGTGTGTTTCTGTGTGGGTTATACTTCAAAGAAACTGCTGCCATTGAAAAGGGTTTCAATTTTTGATTGCTAGTCGAGGGGTAAAAGTTTCTTCGACTAAACATGAGCTGACGCATATTTAAATATTATTGCAAATCAATTGGGTGGTCTACCCCACCCAGCAGCACCACCACCACCGCCACCACTATCAGCTTGGCCACAGCCTTTGTGCAAATAAAAATGCATAGAAATAGCAAATTTATACAAATCGTTTGTCCGCAGCATTTGAAATGCTAAAATGGCACTTAAAAGCAGCCAAAATGAAAAGAAAACACGAGAATTCCATTTGATGTACGCAAAGGTAGACTAGCTATGTAAACTATGTATATATAGGGAATCGGGGAACAGCCTAGCTTGGGTGGGCTTTCTTTTGGGGAAAAAGCCTTTCACCCACACAAACGAACTCAACGGACTATGAAATTGTATCGAAAATTATGCAAATACATTCAAGTTATGCAAAGGACAAAACTGAGCTGAATGGGGTGTATGAGATGTTTAATTTAGTCACGCTTTGAGTTAGTTTTGCTGTCTATAATCGATTCCCAAATAGAGTTGGTCCTTCAGGTTTTGTTGTGAAGAAAACGGTTGTTTAATGGAGTTTCCAAAAAGTAGTTCATAAAAGGGTTCATGAACTATTTTTAGTTAGTAGTTCTTTAGAGTTTTTTCATGTTTATTTTATAGAAAACTTAGATTCAAATTTATTGCTGAAACTGTTTAGTGAATTGCCCAGTTTTATATTATATTCTCTCTCATCTTTATTCTCTTTCTCCTTTAACATTTACTTCAACAATTTTGTGTTCTCTCTCTCCTCTCCCCTCTCTTAGCTTCTGATTGTGATGACAACAACTCGAGTGTGGGCACCTCCAGCGATCGTTGTCGCTCGCCCCTGAGTCCAGCGCTGTTGCTCACCCAGCAGCAGGCCAAGCGACAGTTGCTCTCGATGCAGCCGCATCCGGCGCACCATCACAATCATAGCCACAATCACAATCATAATCATAATCATCTGCAGCAGACGTACAAGCAGGAGCAGCAGGATGAGGACTATGATGATGCCAATGGCGGTGCACTCAATCTGACCAGCGACAATTCGCGGCACAGCACTCAGAGTCCGGCCAATTCGGTCAAATCGACAGCGGGCACACCGCCGGCTCAGCTGGCGGCACCGCTCGTCTCACCTGTACTGCCGCCCACCGTTGCCGCGCCCGCTTCTATGGCAGCCGCCGCCGCGGCCGCCGCTGCAGTGGCTAACAGCATGCAACCGGGTCTAGGCTTGGCCTTACCCGGTCTATCCTCGCCCCAGCTGGCGGCTGCCGGCCTGGCCCTGAATCCCTTGCTGGCCGGCTCCATTACGCAACAGGATTTCACTCAGCTTCAGCAGGTGCTGCAGCAGCGACAGGTCGCACTGCAGCAGCAGTTCAATAGCTATATAGAACTGTTGCGCAGCGGCTCGCTGGGTCTGTCGCAGGACGATCCGGCATTGGCTGGTCAGATCGCTGCCGCTCAGTTCCTGATGCAGAGCCAGCTGCAGGCGCTGGCTCAGGCCACACAGCAGCTGCAGGCGCTGCAGAAGCAACAGGAGACGCTGAGTATGTGCAAATCGCCGCTGCAGCAGCCGCGCAGCTCGACGCCCCATTCACGGAGTCCAGCTGCAGTGCGCAGTCCGGCCAGCTCGCCGCATCAGCCGCTGCAGATAACGCCGCCCAATTCGGCAGCCAGCTTGAAGCTGAGCGGCATGCTAACGCCCAGCACGCCCACCAGCCACTCGCACACCCATGGCCACGCCCACACGCACAGTCAGGTCACACCGCAGCCCAAAACGGTGGCCAGTGCGGCAGCGGCGCGTGCAGCCGGCGAGCCCTCGCCCGAAGAGACCACAGATCTGGAGGAGTTGGAGCAGTTTGCCAAGACCTTCAAGCAGCGACGCATCAAACTGGGCTTCACCCAGGGCGATGTGGGCCTGGCCATGGGCAAGCTCTATGGCAACGATTTCTCCCAGACCACCATCTCGCGCTTCGAGGCGCTCAATCTGAGCTTCAAGAACATGTGCAAACTGAAGCCCCTGCTCCAGAAGTGGCT